GCAATCTGGAGTCACGTAAGAAGTATTTTCCTCCCCGCAAAGTTTGTTTTTATAAATTATTTTATTTATATTGAATCGATTCAAATCTTTATTGATCTTCCGAAGACTCGGATTATGTTTAGAGAAACTCGTAAGTTTACTTATAAGGAAACTATTCCACCACAGCATACCTTTCTCTTTGCATACTCCTATTAAATGATCTATTTCGGGGTATCTCATAGTCGTGCATTCCCAGCTACTATTTTTTTGCAGTACTTTGTATCGCTTCTTTGCGAGTTGTTTAGCATTTTCAGCTGTTCTGGGAAATCTATGGAGCTAGCTGCGGGCAAAAACTAGAATTGGGCTCGTGACACGACCAAAAAGCACCTCAGCTTGTCGTCTTTATTGACAGCGAGTTGATGCAGTGTAATTCACGTGTAGTCTTTTATGTAGAACATGTTTAGCTATTAAACAGCTACATATGTATGTGTTAAATTGATTTTTATAATAATTCATATAATTCTATATATGTCGTTGTATAATTTCATTTAATTTAAAAAACAGCATTCAAGTCAATTTCTTGATTAGCATCGTCATACTAGTTGAAGTTGTGTGCTTATCTGCTTATTCATTAATAAGGAAATCTGTTTAGTTTCTTCTTACTTCATGTCGTACCAATTTTTTTTCTATCGATACAAATCAAATGCCAAAGTTGAAGCTCATATCCATATGCATGCTGGCCTATAGCAAACGTAGATCCATATTAAGTGCCGTTAGTCAAATCAAATAAAGAGCAAGTCATATAAAAAATCAGAATGTATTTCTCGATATTGCTCTACTCGTATCAAGACATTCCTCTGCTCTGCAATACTCGCAACAAATGCAGGCGAGAGTGCGACAGTCTCTCTCGTTAGCGTGTCGTATACGTAATGTAATAAAGTTGTTTACATGACAAGAGATTATTATACAAATTGCCAAACTCTTGTAGCTTAGGCCGAGATCTCAAATACAGCTCGGCTAAATAACAATGAAAACATTTCTTTTTTAATTTGTGAAAACGACAAATTACGCGACGAAACATAATTCGAAGGTTTCACACAAAAAAAAAAAAAAAAATTATTTGCATAGATTCGTGTTAGATGGACAATAATAAAAAAATAGTAAAAAAAAATAGCGAGTGATTAAAAAGCGTTCAGTAAAAAAATTTTGCTGTCAGAAAATAATAAACAAAAAATGTATATATAAAAATATTTTTATATACACATACATATACATAGCATGTAMTACAATGCCTGGGAACTACTGAGAGCTGAGTGCTGAGGGCTTGTTGGATGCTGCTGGAAAAGTGTCGATGCTGCAGAGAGGTTTACGATCGTGCTCAAGGACGCTTATAAAACAAATAAAGCGAAATGCATTAAACAAAGCAAAAATATAGCTTGCCGCCATTTGACATAAATGCCAATTTAAATGCTGCAAAACGCATAAATCAACAAACGAGAGTTTGTTGTTGCTGCTGCCGTTGCTGTTGCTGCTGCTGCTGCGGCTGCTGTGGCTGTTGCTGTCGTGTTTTAGCCGAAACAAACGTTCAGCAAGTGGCGCACCTTAAAAACGTTTTTCTGACTTTATGCCCGCGGCAAATGCAAAGCAATTGAAGAAGACACCAAGCCGAAGGGAGCAGAGTTCAGTCAACGGCAATAACTGGGTGACAAAAAAAAAAAAAAACAAAAAAAAAACAGAAAACAAAAAATCAAACCGTTACAGCAAATGGCGTTTAATTGAATTAACATAAGCCAAGAAAAGTTGGCTTAATAAATGCGCATAATTTGGCACATCCTGGTCAGTTGGCATTTAGTGATGTTGATGCTGAGTCTAGAGGAAACGACAGTTGCAGTTGGCTGCTGGGTCACAGCAGCAGCAGCAGCAGCAACAGCAGCAGCATGAACAATGCTCAGCGGCAAAAGACTGAAAGCTCATTAACATGATTACAATGAATAATTCCATGCACATACACATACATATACATATATATAAATATGTAGGTATATTCCAACATTGTTGCAAATAATTACGAAAAATGCATTTGTATGGCTATGCAATTAGTCACAGATAGCACAACGGCAACAACAACAACAATCTGTTGGGTGTCGCTGCAGCATCTGCAAGTCTGCGCGTCGCACCACGCCGCGCCGGATTCTTGGCGAAATCAGCTGCCAGGCAGCACCTTTTGCCGTTTGCCATTCCCATAATTTGCAATACATATATATTTATATATACATTTTTGTTGTTATTTATTTTGTTGTTGTTTGAGCGAGCTTAGCAACTGCAATGTCTATAACATTTTCTCACGTTTCGGCTTGGAAAGATTTCGGCACAAGTTGCGCCTAATCGCGGGGGTGCTGCCTAATGCGCATTTTATGCAAATGCAAATGCAGCATCAACTGAGCATCAATATACAATATATTTATCTACATTTAGGTATTTATAGCTCAGCTGCCTGGAGTTTGGGCAGTTTATGAGTGCGGAGCTTAAGTTGACAGTAGCTGGTCGAACAAGTTCGTTGCCTAAGTCTTTCGTTTTAATTGCTCGCATAAAACGCGCATCTGTAAATCTATTTGGCAATGCGTTTCGCTAACTGTCAAATTAGCCGACCGACCGACCGGCTGACTGACTGACTGACTGACCGCACAACTGGCTGGCTGACCAAATCCTGCGCCTCAGCCGTCGATATTTCGCAAGCATCTGTCGCATCATAAACTGTAAATTGCACAGCTGCGGCTGCATTTGCCACGTGCAGGCGTACCGAATCGCAGCCCATGCGAAATGCTGCCAGCGAATCAGGCAGCGCAGCGTGTGAGTGTATGTATGTGATTTCTTATTATGAGGTTTTCCACTTTATCAACGGAAAATCTGCTGGCAGCCAGCCGCCACATGCCTATGCTCATTGCTGCACAATTACTCAATGGGCTCCGACAAGCAATTCCAATTGAAATTGAAATGCCCAGCCATGCAGCTCCCAAGCTCCCAAGCTCCCAAGCAGCCAACAGCCAAGCAGCCAAGCAGCCCCATTCCCAATTTCTGCTTTTGACTCGTTTGGTTTGGCCTGATGCTAACTTTTTGGCATTTTTTTGGCGCGTCGCACTGCCAGCAAATGCCAGACGCGCATCTTCAGCTTAATTGAAATTTACTCTTGCTGCTGCTGCTGCAGTTACTGTGGTTGCTGCTGCTGCTGTTGCTGCTGCTGGTGAATGTCTGCATGCATTTTGCATTGGCTCCCACACATTGTGCAAATGCTTTCGGCACTTTTACTGCATTCAAGCAGCCAAGCATCTTATATAATCACACACAACCAAAATAATAATAATAATACATAAAACCCCCCAAAAAAATAAGAAAATGGAAAAAGAAATATTAAATAATTTACGTGCATTGGAATTCTTAACGAGTTGCTGTAAGACCCTTTTACCAGTTGCCATCGGTACAGCAAAGTCGTGGCGCATTTATCAATGTCAGCCAGGCGGAGGCCATTCAAATTGATGTGTATTTAATTGAAAGCGGGCGCTAATTAGAATTGTGCCTGGGCTGCTGTGTAATGCGAAAAGAAACTCGAAACGAGTTCGTGCCTTAAGTCTTTTGTTTGGCGCTCGCTTTGCATTTGATTGTTGATTTTGTTTTGTTTTATTTTGTTTAGCCTAGCCGTCTGGCCGTCTGGACACTTCCTAGTTATTAGCCTTTCCCACGCAGTTGGGCAACAGCATCGCGTGAGTCATAGCCTTTCTTTGCCGGGGATGACACAAAACGTAGGCCAAGCAAAATAAATTGAACATTTATTATGTTTTTTTTTTATTTGTAGCCCTCTCTACCCATCTCTGCCCCAACGACCTGCCGAAAAACTGTTACACAATCATTGCAGCTGAACTCTGAACATGAGCCGAGAAATTAGACAGAAACAACAACAAAATATTGATGGGAAGCCAGTTGCAGGCGCAGCACATAGGATGGCATATGCCCGCAGCTAAACGAGGCTGCTGCAAGTCAACAACCAGTCAACTCAGGCTCGTCTTCAGTTGACATTTTTTGTTGTCGTCTGTTTGTTTGCTTACAGCTGCAGCTGCTTTGCTTTGTTTTTCCGGCAGCCAACCTCAACTTTGAAATGCCAAGCTGTCAGTTTAGGGCGACACTGTGATGGACATTAGGCGTCGAGCCGCCTTTATTTTGTCTCATTTTTGTTGGCCAGATCAGAAACGGCAAACAAAAATGTTTTTTAAATAGCAACGCCCAGTAAGCGGAGATCTCTGCTAGATCTGCAGGCGTGCAAATTCCCACACTGCAACAAATGCCGCGCATTCCCCACACTACTTACCCATATACGCGAACCGGATTGCCGAGAGGCAGCAACATCAGCCGCAGCAGCGGCGGCAGCGGCAGAGGCTGTGGCAGCGCGACTTTTGCCCCGACACAAGCAGTCGTCGCGGCAGCAGCAGCAGCAGCAGCAAGAGTAAATGACAATGCCGCGCCGCGCCATGACTAACTATGACATAATACCAGCGGAAGATGCAACCGACGCTTCAGCTTCAGCTTCAGTTGCAAGTCAAACAAACATTTTCTGTACATGTAATTGCAGGCGTCTTGCGGTGGGAGTGCGGTCATAAGCATGAATTGATGCTGCCGCTGCTGCTGCTGCTGTGGCCCTGTGGCTGCCGCCAGCTGACGTAAGTGAGTGACAAACGATGCCAAAATGCAACTGAAACAACAATTCAAACAACATGTCACACGCTGCGTATGCGTAATGTGCGTTAAGCATGCGACACATGCGCCCAGCCAGACTCGAAGCTTGGCCAAAGCTGAAGCAGCAGCTTCTAGCAGCGACTCGTCTATGCTGCCAGCTGCGACGTCGCTGCTGCTGTCGACGTTGCTGCTGCCGACACTGCTGCTGGCTCTGCCTTGGCTGCCTTGGCTGCTTCTGCTGATGAGGCCCAAGTGGTTTTTCCTTTCGCTTTCAGAAATCATTTCGCTTCGACAACGTAAACGATAAAGTCGCAAAACGCGCAACATTGCGCCTCGTCGTTGGCTCGTCTCGTGCGGTTCGTAGTTCAACTGGTTAAAACACACAAACAGTGACTGTCACTGTGACTGTGACTGTGACTGTCAGTGACTGTCAGTGACTGAGTGCTTTTTGTTAGTCTGCCTGTTTGCCCAGTCAACTGGCAAAGACGTCTGCAACGTTTCGCTGCACATTCTAAATGGCTTTTCCGTAGTTTTCGCACCTTGCGAAACACATTTTTACGCATTTACATACGAGCTCGGTTCGAAGCAAAAGAAAAAGAAGAAGCAGCAACAACAACAGAGCAGAAGCTGAAATAGCAGAATTTTCGATTTGAACACTTTGTCGGCATTTTTTGCTTATTTTCTAGTTGAGCGCTGGCATGACAAACAGTTTCACATAATGAAAATGAATCGCTCGATGATTTTGTGTTAATTTTCTAAAAAACAAAAAAGAATACATGAAAAGCATAGCATAAAAACCGAAAGAAAAAAAATACAAAAGCTTTTAAAAAAACATAATTGTGCGTTTTGTAATAATCGTATTTATATGATCTTTCTGCGTGTTGTGTTTGTTATCTGTTTACAGTGCATTCCATGTGAATATCTACTTTAACTAGCAGCTTAGGCACTTCGGATAATTCCCCCTCCTTACTTTGGATATTATAAATTACGCTTTCGGCTGTGGATATACGCCCCGATTTTGGATTAATTAACTACGAAAAGCGCCATGTCGACTATTAACTATCAAATGAGCGCACTTCTACTGGGTGAGTTGTTGAAAATAATCTGTTTAAGAGACAAAATCAAATTAAAAATATTAGAGGAAAGCATTAGAAAAAAAAATACATATATTCTTTAATTTCATATTTTCTACTGATTTAAAAAACTTCGAATTCTCTAATTTGAAATAACAAAATCATATTCATATTACACAAATAAAAAATAATCGCAGTTTTTTATAAGTTTAAATATAAGAAGTACAAGTTTTAAGGAAAATATTGAGTTTAGTACTCAAACAAGACTTATGGATGTTGGGAAAGCTCGTTAAAATTTGAATAAGAAATTTTCAACCATTACTTTTTGCAAAATTTAATGTATATTTGTTTTGTGAATGCCATAAAAAAAAAATATTATTATTAAATTAAAATTAATTTTTAATTTTTTTTTTTATAATTTTGTATAAACAAAGGAATGTTATTTAGCCTTTAATCCTTAATTTATAAAATACTATTGAAATTCTACTTTTAATCTTTAATTAAGATTAAAGCTTTATTGCAATAATTTCTAGAAATTCATAACGCTTTTATAACCTTAAAGAATAGTTCAGTTTTTATGAGAAAAATAAATTGATAAATAGATTTTTAATAGACACTAAAAAGTGTAGCAAAAAGTACCTCATCAGGTAAAACAACCGGTCATTACGGCGGACAAAAAGTTAACCCGCACATTAAAGACACAGAACACATTTGAAGTTTCATTGAAATCACTTCCTGATGACAGAGATCGTTTGGAACGTTAGCTCATTGGGCACGCATTGTATTGACCTTCTATTTCGGTGGCTTTAATTACGCATTCCAACAATCACATCATGCGGAGCTCATCTCCTGGCCATAATTAATTCGCATGATCATTAGCTGGGGCTGGCTCTGGCTCTGGCTCTTTAATCTTTCATAAGAGGAAATTATGCATTGACTCAAGGTCTGCACATTTACGTAACTCAGCATCAGTTTATGGGAATTTCTACAAATATTACCCGAGTCTCCCCTAAAATAAGCATAAAATGCAATCAGCTATGAATTTTTGGCAAAAGCAACAAAGATGCGGCCAATAGGTAAGATAAATAATCTGCCTTAAATGAATATTGGGTCAGAAATAATTATATGCGCATGTAAAACTTTTGAATGATCATTAAGTGGTAGAGACGACGCCCCACGGAAGCTGTCTGGGTCTGGGATTCAAATTGGTTTCGCCTGAGCTCGAGCTCAGTTAAACAAAAGAGATGGCCCAACAAAAACCACAATTCCCGGAGCTGCTGCTGCCCAGTCATAGTTCACAAAGGCAAAGATTTCAAATGTCTGGGGAAAAAGTTTGTGGAATTGAAAATGAAATTCACTTTGAATTCAATGCGAATCTTCAAAGCCTAAGTCTCTCTCCCTCTCCCCTTCTCACTCCTACTCGTTCTGTCCCTCTTTTAATGCCTGTTATATACACCAAACGATGATTGCGCAATCCTAGCCAACAAATTTGACTGCAATTTGAGCCAAGGCGATTTGCGATTTGCATTGGTTCTGCAATTGCAAATTGCAGTTGCTTTAATTGCGGCAAGCGCATCTTCCGTTTGCCATTCCACTTTGTCAGAACAGCGCCTGCAAAAAGTCTGTTAACAGTGCCGGCCAAAAGTCGTCTTGCTCATTAAGTGTTGCACATGTGGCAATAGCATTTAGTATGGTTTCTATTTTCAGTTATAAGAATAGATTCACAGATGAATAATTTATGCTTATTACAGGAACAGTGCCTACTAAAAGACTGGCAACAGGGGCAACTACTATTTGTGTAATGTAAAGTGAGGAACTTTTATATAGTAAAATACCTCTCCCTAGGAAAGCTCTTCAATATTTGCAAAAAGTCAATTAGAAGTAAATTGCATGAATACTTATATATATAGGAAAGGGATTCATAAGATTTAACTGAAAACAGTTCCTGCTAAAAATCCGGCAATAACACCAGCTAAAAAACTTTGGTATAATAAGGCGCTGCATAAGTAAGTGGTATTTGTACTATATACAGTGCCTGTAAAAAGTCAATCAGCAGTGTTAGCTCTAAGACATGGGAGGAATTTGAGAGTATCAAATGTCACATTAGCTTTTAATATAGCTTTTAATATATACTTACGTAAACTAGGATATGATCTATAACATTTAAATGGACATAGTGCCTGCAAAAAGTCTATTCACCTTAAAGTCAACATGTAAGCATAAAATTACTTGACATTTTATTTGTGCAAGTGGCTTTTAGTGTGAGATGTAAAAACTTTAGACTAAACTAACCATAACAGTGCCTGCAAGAGCTGCCACCACAGTACCAGCCAAAAAAAAAAAAAAAACCGCCAAGGCAACTTGATTTTTCATTTGGAAGCGTGTTTTAGTGTGACATGTTGGAATTTGTCTCTATTAAAGTTTATTCCATAGCTTGATTGATAGCAGTGCCTGCCAAAAGTCTAGTGCTATTCGATGGTAATTAAACATTTCACATATGTAAGTGGCTTTTAAAGTATCATGTACTCCCTTGTTGCTTGGCATAGGTAATCCATAACATTTGATTGACGTGACATTTTAATTGTTTGACCCTCATATTGGGATTCATATAGATATTTTTGTTGTTGTGGATTTGTGGCCAATTTGGTAGATGAATTGACACAAGTGTACAAACAGCGCGCTGTGGGAATTTGCGGTTTTGAATCTTAATGATGTCTTTCTGTATCAAAAAGCCATCAATTGTCAAATAAAAACAAAAGCAAAAGCTTACAAAAACAACACACGCACACAGAACTTGGCCAACCTTGAGCATCAGTTACACACACACATAGGCACACTCATACACGCACACAGACACAACTCAGGCTCGTCTTGCAAGCGAAAGTGTTGCGAGTGCGCGAGCCACATTAAGATGAAGGTCAGCGGGGCAACCGAGCTGGCAGCCAGTGGTTGCTCTGGCGGTTGCACCACTTGAGTTTCCAATTTGTGTTCGAAAAGCTCACGATTTTGTTTTGTTTTGTCTTGTTGATCTTTGCAGCCACCGCAATGGCCCTGCTGTGCGGCCAAGTGTTGGGGCAGGCCCAGCTGCTGGACGAGGACGAGGATGTCTATGGCAGGCCCTGGCCCACCTACAGTCTGCAGAATATGCCCAAGACGCAGTTCACCTGCCGGGACAAGATACTTGGCGGCTACTATGCCGATCCCGAGACGCAGTGTCAGATGTTCCATGTCTGTGTCAAGCTGCCCGGAGTGGGGGTAAGTGTTATACGACAGCTTAAAACAACAACTACAACAGCAACAACAACAGCAGATCATAGACAGTTGAATTTATAACAGCATAAGAGATAGATGGATATGATCCAAATGTGTATGCACTACTTACAGTGGGTATATAGGCTTTATAGATTGTAAATATGTGAAGGGATGGACTACACTCGGAGTACTTTAAAGTTAATCACTACAATTTTGCCAAGGTTGTTTAGCGGTCTATATAGTTTTATAAGATAACATATATCTCGCACCAATATCACTTATAGTATATATAGATATTTCACATTTCTATCCATCTGAATTCTATAAAAATGTTGGGGTAAGAAATTATAAACATTTAAAACAAAATTTAAATTTTTTCTTAAAAATATTAAATTAGATCTTTTTTAAACAGCATAACAGAAATATCAAAAATAAATATTAGAATATACTTTTATTTTGCATTTTTAAATTTCGAAAGAAAACTTCTAGAACGAACTTGTAATCATTTTTTTTTTATATATCAGGTATAATGTTTCTTACTTCATAGATTCATTCGTAAAATATTTAATAATTTTTTAGCCGAGTTGGTAGTGTCGATTATGCTCGCCTAAGGTATACTTTTATTTATTGTAAAAGAAACGTAAAACAAGAAAATGTCATTTGATAGCTTGATCTGATTTTCCTTATGGCCAACTCGACAATAAGTAAGCCATGTAATGAATAGCCATTTACAGGGCATCTGCCAGTGTCATAAGGTGAGTAGTGCACCAGCATGTCTACACATAATGATTACAATTACACGCAAGTTATGGTGTAAACAATGGATTAACCAACAATCTACCACAACCTTCGGCTAAGAGCGCACTTGGCTTCGGCATCGAAATGCAGTCGAAATTCTTCGGTTGATTTTCAACTTTTCACAGCATCAAATTGATAAAATTTTATTCGATACACGCGCATATTACGTTGTAAAATAGACAATTTAGAGTGGCCGCCATAGGGCCACGAGTATTCCGAAAGCCTTAAAAAAGAGAAGAGAGACGCAAAGACAAAACATCAGCCATTTGTTAACTTGCGGGCGCTCTGAGTCGCTGTCAGTTGAAATGGCAAAGATGCACGGCTACATAGGCCCCCACCCCATCGGTTGAGCCGAGTGCGGGAGGAGCACTGTCAAAGGGATGGGTGGGGGGTGGTGGGTCAGGTAGACTTCGTGACTGCCCAGGTTGCCAGCCGGTGTTGCAGTTGCAGCGGGACAGCATCTGCTGGCTGTTCGCTGACCTTTAAGTGCATAAAGTATTCAATACGTTTTACATTAATTGCCACACATAGGGAGAGAGGGAGAGCGAGAGAGCTGCAGTGGGAGCGAGATACAGTCAGAGACAGATGCGATACACATGAAGAGCGACAGAGAATGCAACAGACGGAGCGAGACATCTAACGTTCAGATAGGCTATCGCTGCTCTCCATCAGCTGCGCGCTATGCAGATCCAGGTACATGTCGTCCAACACCTTCGATAGCTGCGCTTGTCGCTGCTGCTCCTGCACTTGCTGCGCCCTGCGCTGATGTGTCCACAAAAGCTGAAACATATTCGAGTACTTGGCCAGCTTGCGCTTAAATTTGAGACGCTGCTTCTGCAGCTTCCTGTTGCTCTTCGCCAGCCTGAGATGCAGAAGGTCCAACATTTGGTTTTTCTGCTTCAGCTGCTCGCTATTCTGCTCGTGGCTGATGGCCAGCTGTGTGACAATGTCCCGCACTTCCAGCATCTCCTCGAGGCTGGCTTCCGCATTGGTCTTGATGTGCCTGAGCTGATCGGACAGCCGACTCGCCTCCATCACCTCCTCGCCAGCAAATGCTGTTGCCCGCTGCAGCTGGCACAATGGGCTGGTATTGGTCTTGCATTGAGTGTAGGTGTTGCGTTGCTTCGGCAATTCGAACTCCAGCTGAATGCTGGTGTTGTTCCTCTTCAGCAACTCCAGCAGCTCATCCAGCTGGAATTTGTAATCGCTGCCGCGCCAGAACTCTAAACCGCTTAGCTTATTGCTCAGGCAATGGCATTTGTTACGCTCCCGCAGGTAGAGCGCTTTCCAGACTTTGGCACAGTCCATGGCCGTAATTGCATCGAATTGTGGCGCAGTTGTATAATTGATTATCACAGTGCTCTCATCGCTGTCCAGTAAATCCTTGAGGATTCGCGTTAACCGTATATTATAGTACCTGATATGCGTTTTGGTATTGCTCGCCAGCGCGCTGATTATCCTTAGCAATGAGGCCATGGGCGTGTGCAGCTGCAGCATCATCTCCGACTGATCGACGGCCGTCAAATGGACGAGCTGGATGCTGCCGTTCAGATGCAGCGATTGGTCCAAATTGGTCTGCCTCACGCATATGGTGAATAGCGCATAGGGATAGTCATTGGTGGGCATCGCATCGTCCGATTGCTGCTGCAGCTGCCCAATGACCCTCTCTATATACGCATAGACATCATGGGGCGAGGCGACAAAGTGCTCCTCCTGTGTGCCCGTCAACTGATCCTTTGCCACATGCTGTTGCATATGACTAATGGATATGTTGATCTGCATTGTCACCTCCATGTTGCAAACGTGGCCAAATAGCTCGCACAGAATGCGATCCACCACGTCCACCTTGCTGCTACGTCTCTCGCCAATTGGCCAATGGCCATAGCTGAATATGGTGCTGGCTTTGCCCTTGAACACATCGTCCAGTACACTCGATGCGGCCTCCTCACAGACATCCGCTTGCTGTTGACTGAGCTCAGACAGTTTGCGAAATAGATACATTTTTGCCTAGTTTAAAGGAATCGGGCTTTGAGCATCGTGCAGCAAACGGGCAGCATTGCCGGCATTGCTCTTACCATGTTTAACAAAGTAAATAATGCCCAAGTCACAATGGTGCGGGTTTTGAACTATATAAGTACTGTACATATGGATTTTGAGTTGTCAATTAGCCTACTATTCTATGAATGATGTGGCATACACACACACACACACACACACACACATGGGCCAGATCAGAGAACACGTTCACTTCGCCTCAATTAACGGCCAAAATGTGTGCAGCAGCAGCATCATCTGGTGGCAACTGCCGCAGCCGGATACCAATTCAAATGCCAAGTGCCACACAGCACAAGTAGAAGTAGAAGAAGAAGAAGAGGCAGACGAAGCAATAAAAAACATACGACAAATGCCAAAGTTCATCAACGGCCTTTGGCTTGTTAAAGTCGAAACCTTGCCACGGCTCTTCCAACTATTGTCACGATATGCACCATACGACATCGCTGACTATGACCGGGCCAGCTGATATTATATCTTCGACTTGAGATAGTCTTTACACCACATAGTAATGAAACGTGCTTAGAATAAAATGTATACATAGTGTTCTATATGGTTAGTAGCTATTCAAAAATGCTATCATATAATAATTCGAATTGGAAATTCGCTCGCTGATTCCAATTGGATTTGATTACGATTTGATATGTATTTTATTGTATACAAAATTTATATACATGAAAAGGAAATGCATATGTTTCTTAACCACATATAATTATTTATAAAAATTCCACTGCTAGGCTATTAGATACCCTACTTCAAAGGTGAGCTGTTTTTTTTTTTTTTATGTAGACTCTATAAGATTGTGAAGCTTCTAGAGTTTCTAGTCTTTTACTGCATACTTAGTGTATACGTATAGCTATAGCTGTTGTGGAGGCAGCAGCGGTCCGAAGABTATTGTCCCTATGGAGTAGGGTRTTATGTCGACCATTGCACGTGAAACAGTTGTGAGTACTGGTACACTCTCGTAACTGGTGACCTTTAGCGAAACAGTTTAGACAAAGCTTCTTCGATTTTATGTAAGTTTCTCGTTCATGAATGGATAGTTGGAGAAACTGATGGCAGAATCGGATTGGATGATTCTCTCTTGAACACAGATCGCACCTTGTGCCGATTGTGTCCACTTGCGTTCTGAACGAGTTCAGTCGTTCGGGAAGGGCAGGGTTCGCAGATCTCGGAATTGAGTTCGGAACTTTTGGAACAGAACGGTCACCTTCCATAGCTTCAAGAGCACGAGCGCGCTCGCTAAGGAAGTGACTGACGTCCTGCCAGGCTGGGATTTCTGTTTTTCGTTTCAATGAATGCTCCCAGAGAGATCGAGTTTGTTCCGGCAAATTTGAAGTGCACAGGAACANGTCGCCGATAAGCAAAAAGACCGGGTTGTAATTTCCTCGTCTTTATTTCTTAGATTAAAGCTGTGTTGCTCGTATAGCATTAGTAATAAGATGTACATATGTCTCGTCAGTACCAGGAGAGGCAAGTGAGGCAAGTAGTCGCGAGACGAAGTACTCAGCGGGCGCTAAGTACCGCGAACCAGTAGGAGAACTGGGTGATGTTATTAACAGAATGCTGTTAACAACATAACAGTGTGTGGTGCGGGAGGAGCAATTCTTGTTAATGGGATCTGGCATTAACAGTATGAGTTCATGGCAATGAACAGTTAGGCATGCAGACTTCCATACATGGGCTAGAGCCACATAGCTTGATACCGTCATCCATAATATGTTAGTTATAATTATTATTTACACACCTTAAGCAAACACTATTTATTTTACATTAAATGGCAAATCTAATTAAATGTTTCAACAGCTGGCTGTTATAAATAACTTAAACAGCATTAGATATATAATTATGAAATATAGTATCAATTTTGCTTGGTCATCGCGTAGGTTTATATTTTATAAATCATTCAAGGCTAATTTTGATAACTATAATTCAGCAGTTATTCAATTTAACGATTATAAGCTATAATATTGGTATTCGATGTGATTTTCTAAATGATTATAAATGCGCGAAAATAATTCTATAAATTATGACATATACATAAATAATTATGAGGAAGATAAGAAGATGAGTCATTTCCGTTACCTATTTGTCTACCTGCTTTTTTGCATAAACGCATTATTGTATTATTATTTATTATTTAAAATTATAGAACTCTTGCATATCAATAGTATTTTTTCGTAGTAAAGGAAGCCGCAACTATATAAGTACCATTTTTAATTTTATTTGCACAAATAATTAATGTTTCATACTTTGCCATCCATTATTTTCTGGAAACTTCATGAAGCTTGCATTTTGAGAAAGAGTTGATTTTTTTTTATATCTTTCGTCTGGAAAATTTTATATTATTTTCAGAGAATATATTATTTTCAGGATTTTTAACTTATAAAAAAAAAATTTTTTTTTCATTTATTTATTTTTATTTTTTAATTAAAAAAAAAATTTTTTTTTCTTTTTGAGTATCAATAATCGTATTGATTTAAAAAATTTTTTTATTTTATTTTTCAATTGCTTATATCTGCTATCCTTTATTAACTTTAAGATCATCTATTAATATTAAGAAAATGTTTATATGTACATATTTCTATTTTAAGATTCATCTGATTTACTGCTGTTGTTGTTGCTGTTGTTAATTCAACAAAAAGTTAACAATTAGAAAAGAAACCAAAAATTGCTTATTAACTAATTTCGCCCACTTATCAAATTGAATCTTGCATGTTGATCTGGTTATGTGCTTTTGCTGTAAATGCGGCTAACTGTTTGCGCAGCTCTCACATCGAAGAAATAATTCGTTTGTCCAACAGGTGCAGGACTATCGCTTCCTCTGCCCAAACAGCACTGCCTTCGATCAGGAGCTGCAGATCTGCGCCAACTGGGCAGACGTCGACTGCGACAAGTCCACGTCGCTCTATCTGAACGATTTGTATCGCTCGGGTGACGAGAGCAAGAGCGTTAATCAGGAGGATGAATCCACCTTCCATTTGCAGCGCGCCGAAAGTGGTAGATAATGATCCAATTATGTTGTCTTATCCATTATTGTTGCGATCCCATTATACACGACTTGACCTGATTGCAGGTGATGTGCGTCGCTCCAAGGAGAGCCGCGGCGATCAAAAGTCGCGCCCCAGACATAATTATGCGGTGACTGCTTCCAGTTCCAATGCGGACAACGCGCCGACAACCAAACGACCCATCACTAGCTATTATACGCCCACGACAACAACAACCACAACAACATCAACTGAACGTAACTACTACAACAACAATAACAACTACAACAACAAATACAACAATAACAACAACTACAACGACGACTCGAAGCGTAAGTTAACAAACAATGGAATCTTCAAATTTATTACACAAATTAATCACGCTCTTGTCTCTCGCTGGCATCCACAGAAGACATCGATGATATCTTTAAAGGTTCCCACAGCTCGCACTTCTTTGCCAATCGGCATGGCGGGCGCGAATTTGACGAGGAGCCACCGCGTCCCAGGCCCAACGACTTCAACGATTACAATCGCAAGACCACTGAGGCGGCTAGCAAGACGCGTGCCACGCCCACACGTGGGCAGCGCACCAGCCAGACTCCCAGTGCCAGCCCTGGCACCAGCACCACAGCTGCTCCCTCAACGAAATCCGTGAAGAAGATAACGCTGCATGCTTCCTTCAATACAGGCTTTCAGGACTATACGCAGCACTACAAGTCGACCACGCCCAGCACCTTGGCGCCCACAGCGAGCACCACACCGCGCCTGGGCAGCGGCATCACCAGCCGCTTCAGCTTCGGCTCCAATGACTATCAGACCCAGGAGCGCATCCAGCCAACCACATATAATCCGAACAATGGTTTTCGCTACAAGAGCACGGAGCAGCCGTCCAGCTCGACCAAGCTGACGGGCAAGAATGCCCAGGACTTTGACAAGGAGACCACCAGACGACACAAGCCAACTGCGTCAGCACGCAAGCAGAAGCTCGGCCCGCAGGAGTCCAACTACATCAATCACAATGAGTTCGCTGAGCTGGCCAAGCCGCAGCCATTCCAGGCCAATCAAGATGCAGCCCGGAAACCTGCCCAGCTGGAGCCGCAGTATCAACGGCCTCGCTCCCAATCAACCGCTCAGCAGTTGACTCGCGTGGGCAGCCAGGAGCCGTCGCCATTCAAGTCCTCGTCGAGCGCCTCTGCCTCCAATGCCAAGCCGCGCACCTTTGCAAGCCGCGGCAGCATCACCTACAAGGCGACCACCCAGCGCTATGCCGACGATGAGTTCTACTATCCGACCACCACCAGCACAGCGAATCCCAGCAAGAAGTTGTCCACGCAGGCCCTAAGGGATGCCTTTACACCCACCACCTTCAAGCCGACGACGTACAAGAAGGCCTATGAGCAGAGTTTCTATCAGGTGCAGCAAACGCAGCGCCCCAGCCAGAGTCCGAGCTCCAAGAAGACAACGGCTGTGACACCTGCGCTGCCCAGCACAGCCAATCCGCACGCCAATATTGATGAGGATGACGGACAGTACCATCCGGAGCTGTATGAGAGTGACTTCCCGCGCAATCGCTTCAAGTTTCTGCGCAACCGATCAACCACCAGCCCCACGACCTCCGCGAGCACCACCAGTGCTCCCGTCTCGAGCAGGCAGCCTCATGGGTTTCAGCAGGCGCACAGCCATCTGAGGAGCCAGCAGCAGTCCGCCTATCAGAAGCAGCATGAGCAGGAGCAATCGGATCTGAGCGACGAGGATGAGCTATTCAAGACGGCCCAATCGCTCAACTTTGGCGCTGCCAGCATCAACAAGCTACGCGCTGATATCTACAAGGCGGAGAAGACCTCGCAGCAGTATAACTCCCAGTACAGTCCACAGTTGGCGCCATCTAGTCCGAAGACGATCGCCCAGGTGACCAGCTCTACCACGACATCACCGACAACAACTACAACCACAACAAGGCGCCCCACAACAAGCACAACGAAAACAACAACAACCACCACCACCAGCTCTCCGGTGGAGTCTAAGAAATCGGCCAAGAGCAAAAAGGAGGACAAGAAGAGCAAATCCAAGCGGCCGCCATATGCCGACGAGGATACCAGCTACGACTACGCCTACTACGACACGGATTGAGCTCCAGGTCAGCAGCAGCATCGGCATACGTCCAGCTCAGCCCAGCCTAGCCCAGTTCCCGAACTATATAGCCCTTATTTTGTATGCCTTCATCGCAAACTAACAATGTTAAAACACATACTTGAATCCTCTCCAGCAGCAACTATATAGGTGCCACAGTATTTTATATATATGTATACACAAATCAAAATAACTTCCCGTTTAGATTCAGCTATTGCTCGCATTTTTTCATCGTCTTCGGCTATTCATGGCCCCTGAATACCCATTAACACTCGCGTACATTCATTCAATCAGATGAGTTCGTTCTAATGAATTTCCATGCGTGTATCTAGTTATTTAAATAAAACAAACATATATTTAGTCGTTAGACAATTGTTAAACTGAAAAAAAGGAAACACGAAAAGGCGAAAACTTAAAACACATTTTGAAATTCAGCTGCTAAACTTGAAATGAAACATTTCTATTCAAAAATTTGTACTTGTAATGTTTTTCGATTGTATTCATGGCGAAATTTATATTAATTTTAAGTTTTCTTGTAAATAAAATGATAAATAATAGATTGTTGTGTATTTTAATTGGCTGGCATTTAAATTGAGCGCCCAAGTTCAGAGCTTTCATTATCGATAAGGTTGAAGACCAGCTTAGAATGGCTTATCGATGCTTGCTGTGAAATATATTATCGAAGGCCTACGGAACGATCCACTTGAGCTACTGCAGCCCTGACTTATCGGTGCTAATTGTAAGCTAACAATACTCGACAGTGCAGCCCTGGGGGCGCGAATTCAAATTTTCTTTCTTTTTTTTTTTTATTTTTTAATTAATAAAATCTTAAAAATCATATAAATTAAGTGAGTGCTGTGCAAATATAAATTGATATGTTTAGTCTTTAAATTTTTGACGCACGCAACGCGGCATTGGGAACAAATAGAGCAGCATATTGAAGGCGGCCAAGCCCACTGCGAAAGCACAGGACGCAGCGACATCAATTGTTTCCTGAAATACGAAAATATGTTTAAGATGAGCAAGATATGGTATGGTGGTAGACTTACATCTGGATCAGGTAGGCCCAAGCGTTCGTGCATAAAGTCTGTGGGCTTCGGGCAAATAACAGAAGCGGTGGGCGTGCAGTTGAGCTTGCGTGTCTGAAAGGCGATGCTGTGCAGCAGCGAAGAGGCGTAACGCGTATGCGTGCCCTTGGTGTTGTCCTGCAGCCAGGGCTGCAAGCCCTTAAACGAGCTGCAATTAGAATAAGCTATTAGAGATAGTTTTACTTTAAAGTGTAAATCTAAAAACTTGCCGCACTGTGCCGCTGGCCAGAGCAATGCTGATGACCAGCACGTAGGTCACTGCTATGGCTGCATTGAAGGGAACCTTGACCACCAGCAAGAAGGATATGGTCATTTGCTCGGCCAGCACATAGCTGGACCAAAGGGCCACAAAGAGATAGGCGAACACGGTGCCATTATTGAACTTCGAATCCAAGAGAAGGCTATGAGGAAATCACTAATTAGGATTTATACATACACTACCTATAAACTAGATCACTTACGGATAGATAACACAGCTAGCCAAAACTGAAGACACCGCTGAAAAGGGTATCGAAACGGAGTTGTAGGATAGCAGCAGCGTAGTGCCCGTGTAAAGACCTTCTGGAGTATCTTGGGATAGCTTTTTGCGCCAAATGGGAACTGCAAATGGTAGAAAAATTAAGCTGGGCTTTTAAAGATTTGCTTACCAAACTTACACAAGGTTATGGTGGTCAAAATGCCGCAGCCATAGGACAAACCAAGTATATTCAATATCATGCCGTTTCTGGTAAAGAAGCCACTGGCATCGTCCTGCGGGAGAAGGGAATATTAGAAAGCCTCTTTAAAAATAGATCTCAATACCCACGGTAAGATTTGTATAGAAAGCCCACAAAATCGCCATTGATAAGGGCAATAGTAGCAGGCGCAGAAAGAGCGTCTTCATGCCCACCACGCCGCAGGAGAATGTGGAGGCCAAAAGTTTTCTAAAAGAAAAAGATTAGAATCTAAAACATTTCTAATAAAATTCAAATTCTTCAAATCTTACAAATACAGCATGATCCAAACTTTAAGCTCGCCGGGCTTGCCATAGGCCAGAGGCACCTTGCCCGAGCCCATGTTGTTCAGCGGCGCATCGGAGATGGGTGTCTCTCTGGAGAAGCGCTCGACCAGTGCTTCGATCTGCTGGCTGGACTCGAGAAAACGATCGCGACTGCGACGATCGACAGTGGAAAGACATAGATAATACATGAGCGGATTCTCCAGCTGCGGACAGGGAAAGCCAATGGCATGGAAATACTCCAACATGGCACGAGTGCCGCCCGAGTAGACAACGCCGCCCAGGCACAGGAACAGCGCACGATCCAAGAAGGGAAAGACATCGGAGCGCGGCTTCTCCAACGACAACAAAATGCCACAGCCCGTCTTCTTGGCCGTGTTCGAGAGTATGGAGATGAGCAGATAAGCGCTGAGAGGATCTAGACCTTGAGTGGGCTCATCCAGCAGCAGCATGACTGAAAATAACGAGAGCTAAGCTCAGTTGCAAATGTTTGAGAAGCTGCAAAATTCACCTGGATCCCGGACCAACTGTATGCCAATGGCCAAGCGTCTGGCTTCGCTTATATTCAGATATTCCACGCGCTTGTGCGCCACTTGCGAGAGCGCCAAATCCGCCAGCACTTGACGCACCTTGGAGCTCTTCAGATAACCACCGAGCTAGAAGTAAACAAAGGTAAACAAATCATGTCTAAACAGAGAATTTTGCACTTACAATGGTGGGCGTGTAGTGTAATGTTTGAGCCACTGTCAAACCTGGTACAAAGGTACAGGATTGTGTCACATAGCCGCAACGTTGCTGGAAGAGTGCCTTGCTCAGCGGCGAGCCATTGAGCAGCACCTGTCCACGAGTGGCGCCATCCGCACGTCTAGCAATCACATCCAGCAGAGCTCTTTTGCCGCTGCCTAAAAAAACAACAATTTCCTTAAAATGCAACAAATATGCAACTCAATTACCTACCTTTTGAGCCCAGTATGGCCATCACCTCGCCGCTGTGCACGGTCAGGTTGACGCCTTTGAGCACTAGCGCTGAGTTGCCGGCACCATTGAAACAGCCACCACCGTCCACCTATACAGAGAGTGTGTGTGTGGGAGAGATAGAGAACAAACAAAAGACTTCAATGTTTAGGCTTGTTTGCGAGGCTTCCAGTGCACTTGCCTCGGTGGTGTGGAATATGTTATGCGCTTCCAGTACGTAATCGCTGCCGATCATTTTCATAGCCAACACAATAACAACTCTCCAGAGCAGCAAACAGCTTTGTTTGTTATTCTTCTGCTCTATGCCTCACACTCTGTACGCCGTTCAAGAGCGGCTCAAAGAACCAAACACTGGCTGGAAGTAAACAGTGCACAAGAGCACTGGAATGAGAGAGGAGCTGGGAGAGGGAGAAATATAGAGAGAGAACGCGTTAGCTGCTTTAATTTTATTTGGAATTTTCAACAGCAATTGTACTTCTTAAATATATTTTATAATGTTATTACATTATTTATTTATTAATTCTACTATTATTTGCACACTTCATACTAATATTAAAACGCACCAAGAAAATATTTATTTATTTTTTGCTGTGAATCAGCCGCGAACACGTCTAGTCCAAGCGAGCGCAGAATTCCAACTGAAGTTGTTGCTGGCATTGCGATCGGCACATAAGCAGTAGCAATTCCTATTGGAAGTTTAAGCGCTGGCAGCTGGAATGAGTGTGTTGTGCTCTCCTCACTTCCAGACGCGCACACTAAAATTCCAATGCAGTCTAAGATGGCGTCCGAGGCCAAGTTCAGCTCAGTACGATTTGAGCAGGGCAACGGGAGAGTTGTCTGCTGCGCCGCTCGTTCGGCTTGTTCACGTCTGTTGCCTCTGCGCATAAAAAGTGAATTAAAATACAAAACAAAGTTTAGCAATAAATAGAAAAAAAAACCAAACAAACAAAAAGAACTACGCGCTTGAAAATCTAATTGAAATGTTGTCGGCGTAACTAACGAAATATAAATGCGGTAGCAATCTTTATGTGCATACATACATATATATAATATAAGAAATACATATATTTATTCATTTATTTATTAATGTGCAATGTGTGAACGCTTGCAAATGTGGTTTATTGGCCAGGCTCGTGTGTGTGACAAATCACTTTGCAAATAGCTTGCAAACGGCGGCATTTGCCAAACCCAAATTCTCCAATAAGAAACGCAAAACTGTGCGTGTGTGCATGTGTGTGTGTTAGTGCGAGAGTTTTTATGGAATATACAGCAGCGGCAACAACAAGCAGCAACAAAAACAACAACAACTATAGTCAGGTAAGCTTGGAATTAAAGTTGTTAAACATTTTTTGCATTTTGCATTTTTGAGGCGCCTTTTTTCCAGGTTGCACATTAAAACATTGTCCAACTGGTATTAACTGTTAAAATTTATATTTAAAACCCAAGTCAAGCCACATAGACACATGTGTGTATGTCTTTCTCAGTGTGTGTGTGTGTGTGTGTGTATCTATATGGGCTTAGTCGAGGCGTTGACGGGCGCTCAGCTCCTGCTCCACGTTGTTGTTTTCTTCAGCTGCGGTCGTCGTCGCCATTGCCAGGTCAAAGATCCCACAAGCAAGTTTTGTCTAGCAAACGCTTCGCTCAGCTCCATCGTTCTCTGCAGGTCTGCAGACCCAGGTCTATTGCCGTTTCGAAGCATTTCCACGCTGCTTCTTCGAGTTGTTGGCTTTTTTATTTTGTGTTTTCCATTCGGCTTAAAAGTTCTTTTGCGCGCTTAGGGCGCATAGACAGCGCCAAAGCTATGCGTTGGTCTGTCTCTCTCTGTGTGTGTGTGTGTGTGTGTGTGTGTGTGTGTGTATTTGTGTGCTGGTATTTGTATGTGTGTGAGTGTGTCTTTGTATCTTTCAGATACAAGTTTCTGTTTGTTTGTTTCGCTCGCTGACTCGCCAAGTTCTTGGCTGCGTGCGTTGCTTATTGTTTGTCTTGCGTCTCGGCATTTCCTCTTTGGCTGTTCCTACCGCTGCCGCTGCCACTGCCACTGCTGCTGCGTCTCTTGTTGTTGTTGTTTCTGCATTTTTGTGGTAACTGCTTATTGACGTTTTGTTGTAATGCAAAATCTGTATATGAAATCATCTTGCGTCTTGAAATCGTAAATACTCATAAAGAGCTGCTATCATTTAGCTTTAGCAATTCATCTTTGGCCATTTATCTGAGGCGCTTTGTTGCCAAGAATTTCGAAATTGGCCAACAGCAGAGCAACTTTCACATTCAATTTTTTTTAAGCAAACAATCACTTTCAAAACTGTGAAAAATGTTGCCATCATTTGATAAGACTTATAT